CCCCCACCCCATCCTCCACGGCACCATCAGTGGTTAAAAAAACAAAATGTGAACGTATTCTATCCACCGCCCCCGTCCTCCCGCAGCTCCTTACCCCTGCAGAACACAGTGTGAACTGAGCACCCCGAGGGAAGCCCACCACCGTGTCGCTCCAGGGCCATGCCGACCTGGATCCTGGGCCTCTCCACTCAGTACCCACATCCCAGCCACACGAGAATCCGCCACTCCCCTGTGACAGGTCCCTTCATGATTCTGCCAAGGAACTTTGTGTCCCCCCTTCCAGGAATGACCCCCTCCAAACTCCTCGCCTGGAGCCAGCAAACTCCTGGTACTTCTTGCTCTACCGGCCTTCCTTTCTGTCTCCCTCCGTTCCCAGCATACTCAGGCCTTTGTGCTGCAGTCGTCCCCGCGCCAGTGTCTCTAGCAAGACCCTGAGCTTCCAGAGGGCAGGACTGTGCTCTAGGACGTGTCCAGCTTTGTCTGCTCTGGGCTGGACTATCACGCAGGAGGTCCCTGTGAGACGTGCGGGTGAACTGACTGACTCTTGACCTCTCTAGGAGGGATGCCGTGTCTATAGTCTCTTGCCCATGAGCTTGTAACCCAGCCACAAGCGTTCCCTTAAGCTCACGCCGGTTGCCCCTGCTGTCTAGGACTTTGCCGGCGGAGCCCTGCTGCAGACACGTGTTATCACACTTGGATCAGGCTCTTGGAAATTCAAGTCCAAACCCAACCAGCATCACCTGCTTTCATCTGTGTCTTGTTCGAAGCTGAATCCTGGAAGAGGGAGCCTGGGTGGGGAAGATGTCCCAGCGGCATGTTACCTGCGGGTCTGGGTGTCGGCTGACGATGATGGGGACCGGCCCGGGACTGCAGCGACTCAGGATCGCGTAGACCTCGTTGAGTGTCATACAGTGCACGGGGGAGTCATTGATTTCCACGATCTCGTCACCGCACCTGTGAAAGCACACACGGGAAGCGGTCAGCAAGCCAACCACGGTGGCATTCAGACGCTCCCTTCCCAGGAGCCCCACTCCGAGGTGGGCTGTTTGATGACACCTAAAAATTCCACCAACAAGAAGAGCTCCTTCGCCACCCGACTGACCCTCAGAGCAGGACAGACCAGAGCCGTTCACAGCTCGGCCCCTCACTGCACGGCCACGGTGGGGGACATGTGTCATACCCTGGGTGGGACACCACGAGCAAAAGTTTGTCCGTAACCTTCCTCCTCCTTTTCCCCCATTAAACTCTGCCTGATTGAGACTGAGGGCGTAGGTGAACCAGCTTAAGTGACTAACCCAGGAACCGTGATTTAACCAATCACAGCCGCTCTTTGGGCCTCAGTGTTCCCATCTGTAGAATGGTTAGGGGCAAAGAGGGACGCTTCGTGCGCTAAAGGCTAAAGAAGAAATGACTGTCTGCAGAGCAGCTGAAGTCCTTGCAAGAAAAGGTAAGGAGAAGGGGCATGGAGCACATTCTGGCCCTAAGATGGGAAGTGAGTCATGGAAAATTCACATTTGTTCTGCTACATAACCAGGAAAAAAAAAAAAAAAAAGAAAGAAAGAAGGTAAGAAAAGTGAGGTAGAAAAGAGGGATTTATCCATACACAGAGAATGGTGTAGTCCAACCCCCTTTGCCTTACAGACGGGGAAACTGAGGCACAGGGTGAAATCATCTCCTCAGTAAGACTGAGCTTAGAGCTAAAAAAAGCTTTCTCTGGAAAAGGCCAAATAATAACTATTTTAGGCTTCGCAGGCCACACTGTCTCTGTCACAATCACCCAGTTCTGATGTTGCATGAAAACAGCAGCCACAGACAAATGAGTGTGGCTGTGTTTCAATAAAACTTTATTAAAAAAAAACAAAACCAAGCAGGTGGTAGGCCCCGGTTCGCTGACCACTGGCAGGGCTGGTCATCAGCATGGCCAGGATTGAAAACGCAGGTGTCCTGGGACGGATGTCACTGCCCCCCACACTGTGGTCGGCTGCCTCCTGCTACAGTGTTGCTGAGTGGGTCCCCCTTGACCTCCGCTAAGAAATTACCCATTTTCACCGACAGAAATGAAGAGCACAGACATATAGCACCAGATGCCAAGGAGAGCAGAGGCTTCCGGAACAATCCCTGCCCAGCGGCAAGTCTAGGGGGAAGGACTCTTGTCTGAAGGGATTAGGGCGAAGGCAGCTGCTGTGACTCTCATTATGTCCCAAGTGACAGCACAGCAGCTCAGCCAATCAGCGGTCACCGCCCTACACATGACGGCAAGCCCACCTCTAACTCGAAGCACCATCAAGACAGAGCCCGAGCCTGGCTGGCCCTTTTGCCTCCACAGCAATCGTAGGAAAGAAAATCTTGGAAAATATGGCAAAGGCTTCCTGTTGTAGCAAACCTCAAACCCGGGGGGAAGACAGAGGAGAGAAGACACCTGAGCCACAAATATCGTAACCAGTTAGACTGGGATGAATGTCACCGAACCCAATCACTTACAGAAAGGAAATGTAGTTTCAGGGCTCCTTTCACAAGTTCTTTGCCCTGAGATATGTCTGCGGTGCCTGCAAAGATTTTGTTTCTCCCATCCAGAAACTGATTGGCTTGGTAAGCCTCCTTATCCACACAGGGTTCACAGGCAGACCGCACCAGAGTCCCTACGATGTCACTGTAAATTCTGGGTCAGCTCCATCGGAATTAAAGTGTGGTCACTTCATGTTTTCCGTTTCCGACTGGAGTTCCCCGAGGTGATGCCTCTTGAACTGCCACGTGCCCACAGATCCCCGAGGATCCGGTTAAGTTGTGGATTCCATCGTAGGAGGTCTGGAGAGGAGCCCGAGAGTCTGCATTTCTACCGAACCCCCAAGTGATTTCAATGCTGGCGGTCCAGGGGCCACAGTCTGAAGACGGAGGCTCCGAGCCACGCTGGGTTCATTCTAAATACCCCGTCTCCAAACGAACCTCCTGGCCTTCTAAGGAATTCCTTCCCTCTGCTGTAAATCAGGATGTTTTGTTTTTTCCTTTCTGAAAACAGAAGTAAGGACCTACCGGAGCCGTCCATCCAAATGTGCCACTGATCCCGGAGAGAGCGTGTGGACGAAGATGCCGGAGATGCACTGGAAGTAGGGCACGCTGCACAGGCCGATCCCCAGACCAACGCCGGCCTCTGCCAGGGAGAGCGGAGACAGCACGGGGGCTCGTGACCGAGCTCCAGAGGACCTCGGTTCTCCTGCCACGGGTTGGAGCGCAGGTGCCCGTGGGGAAGCGCCCGCCCCGGACTTTGTGGTGTCTGAGCTGCTGTCGCGACCCCAGCCCTGCTCTCGGTGCACCCGGGGCTTGCCTTGCTCCGTCCTATTTTCCCCGCGGCCACAGAACCCCTGGATGGAAGGTGCCTGGTGTGTCCTGGGCTTCAGCTGACACACAGAGCAGTGGCCGCGATCTGCTCGCCGACCGCACCCCGCCCTGTCCTCGGACTGACTCCAGAGGAGGGAAGCGCCGGGGACCCCTGGGTGGCAGGAGACCCAGGCAGGAAGGTGAAGGAAGAGAGGGGAGGAAGAGGCACTGCCCCCGTACCTTTCTGCAGAGAGACCTCCACCATGACCCTGTAGTTGGCCTTGGCCGTGCTGGCAGGGGCGGCCGGGCTTTCCAAGCCGAAGGAGCTGCCGTCCTTGGTGGCGCAGGTGCTGGAGCTCAGTGAGCGGCACAGCGGCGGGGACAGGTGGCTGCTCAGGGAGTGGGGGGCTGTCAGGCGCGTTCTCACCGTGAGGGTCAGGAGCCCCTTTTTGGCTTGCTGAAAGGAAGAGAGAGTGTCTGCAGTGTCCAGCAGCTGCGTGTGTGATCGTGTGTGCCCGAACGTGTGCCCGCACTGTCGCCGTGTGTGCCCACGTGTGTGCACGCGTGTGCAGGTGTGTGTATGTGAGCACATGCGTGCGTGTCCGTGTCTGCATATTTGGTACAATCTATGTCCATCTGCGTGTAGCCAAACAGCTATGACCCATCACGCGTGTAACCCGCATGCGCGCGTACACAGATGTGCTGAGCGGACCGAGTCTCGAACTGGACTCATTACACAGGGACTTAAAATCATCTGGTTGCCTTAAAAACTACGAGCAGATCTGTAAATATGTCACCATAAACACATCGAGCGTTTTGAAACCGTCTGCTAATCTTAAATAGCGGAAACATCCTGACTGCACCCCGGATCACACTTGCATTTTCCAAGCAGGGTCCTTTTTTAACACTGGGCCCAGACCCGCATCAGCGGGGCGCCCCACGTCAAGGATCCCACAGTTCGAATTTGCAGGTTTGAGTACAGGAGGGTCATGCTTGGTTCCTATGCCCGAAGCCCTGGAGTCCGGCCGTGGACGGATAGCAAGTGGTCACCTTGAACTTCTGCAAAGCATCCTGATGTGTGAGCCCGGCCATCGATTCGCCATTGAGTTCCAGAATTTCATCCCCTGTCAGGAGAAGGAGAGATCACAGCAGAGAGGAGTGTGACCCAGTGAGAGGACATCCGTGCACACAGTCTGGGAGGACGGCTTCCCGGCCCGGGGCTCTCCCCCTGGGGGGCAGGTGGGCAGCAGTGACCGGCCTTCCAAGGTCCCTCCCCTCTTCTGAGAGCAGATCGAGGGTCCCCAGCCGGCCCACAAGGCCTGACCTGACCTGACCTGTCCTGCCCACTGGGGTTCAGCCCCTGCCCTCCTGCCTCCCCGACCCTCAGGCCACATGCTCCCACAGCTCATTCCCTGATGCCTTTCCCACAGCGGGGTCTGCGCTCCGAGCCTCCTGCCCCCGTTTCCTCACCATAGCGCATGGCTCCCACCTCCTGCGCCCGCCTCTCTCAGGGCCCTGCCGCCTTTACCGCCCGCATCCTCCGCTAACTATCACGGACCGGGCCACGGGCGCGGACCCTCCACTCCGGCTTTCTGCTGCCAGCCGCTCCCCCAGTTATGCCCTTCCCTCCGGTTGTTTGAAAAACGCTCTTGCCATTGTCTGGGATGGTCTGAAGCTCCACCGTGACGTCCTAGCGTGCTGCCCCGCACGAAGTCGTGCGCCTTAAAATGACTCTGGGAAGTGCTTAGCCACTATGTCAACGCAGCTCGCCTCACCTCTTCCTCTCTGACCTTCCTGTCTAGAACTTGTCCTCCCTTTGGTCCCACTCACCCTCCATGTCTCTCGGACGCTCGCCCCATCCCCCACAGCTCCGGGCAGCCCACCGGGTCATGCCCAGCTCCCCGGTTCTCCTTCCAGCCGCGTGTCATCTGGGTTTGAGCTGGTCACAGACTTTCCTGTTTCCATGACTTGCCTTTTGTTCCCTACAAGTTATTTCTCCCCCCACCGTGTTCTTTTCTTTCTTGGTCGTTCATGTTCCCTCTTGTACCTTTTCAACGATGTCTTTAGACACAGCAATTCTAAAACTATGAAGATACTAATGCAAAGGGATACACGAACCTCTATGTCCAGTCACGTGGTTATCTACAATAGCCAGATTCTGGAGGTGGCCCGAGCGTCCACGGACTGACGAACAGGTAAAGATGACGTGGTGTACACACACCCAATGGACTATACTCAGCCATAAACAGAATGAAATCCTGCCATTTGCAACAACACGCATGAAACTAGAGAGTATTCTGCTAAGTGAAATGAGTCAGTCCGAGAAAGACAAATATCATATGACTCCACTCGTGTGGGATGTTTAGGAAACGAAACAAACAAAGAGAAAAAGAGACGAACCAAGAGACAGACTCGGAACCCTCGGGGACAGAGTGCTGGCCCCCAGCGGGGAAGTGGCTGGGGGATGGGGAACGAGGGGATGGGGATGAAGGAGTGATGGGCACCGGTGATGTCAGGAGGTGCTGAATTTCTCTATTGCACACCTGAAGTGATTGCAAAGCTCTACGTTAACAGACTGGAATTAAAAATTAAAAACTTAATTAAAAATGCTTAATTAAAAATAGTTAAAAGTGGTAGTTCTATAGTGTCTTAGATGGTTCCATGATCTTGGGTTTTTGAGGGCTAATCCTCCTGTTATTACCACCGACGCTCATTAATCAGTGATGTTTCCCCACCTCCTGCGGGGTCTCTGTGTCGAACTCATTTTTCTGTGGCCCGTTTTTCTCGGGGATTCCCCTATACCCCCCGCTGCAGGGTGGGAACATTTCCTTGATCTACGGGGACAGCCCGAGGCTTTCCCTCCTCCAGGACTAGCGCTGAGGTTAGGTTCTCGGCTTGGGGTGTCCTGTACTCAGTAGGGATGTGAATGTGCCCAGGACACACCTACGTGATGCAGGCTTGGGTCTTCCTTTGCCTGTGGGGAGAAGTCTTTCCTCGCGCCCAAGAGCCACGGGCAAAGTGAAGCTTCCTCTCTGCTTCTCTGGGTCCTGATGGCCTTTCACAGGGGAACTCTTTGGTATCAAGGCTTCAAGCAAGTTCTCTGAGGTTCCTGGGGACACAAATCTGCGTCTCCTGTCCTGTGTGGGCAGGTAAATCCTGGTCCTGTGGGCTTCAGCTCCATGGGCCACTGTATCATCAACTCCTACGTCTGCCGTACTTCAATTCAAAGTTTAAATGAGGTACTTTATCCAACACGTCCTTGTGTCAGAAATAAAGGGCATAAGTGGGCAGGGCAGAGGATTCAAGGATTCAGGGCAGGGCACCGGAGAAGCTGCCAGAATTTGACCAAAAATGGAAGAACCCATCCTTGTACTTCAGAGAGTCCAAGCAGAGCAGAAATAGACAAATTTAAAAAATAATCAAAATGTAACTAATGTGTCTGAAGGAAGAAGAGACAAAGAACATATTTCAGAAATGACCATTCTTTTTTTTCCGCCATGGACAAGAAGTTGATGGATTCATTACACAGATGTGAGCCTGATCAATGCTCTGGGTGCACCAGCCACTAACGCCTTCCTCTACTTACGTCTTCACGTCGAAGGACAGTTGACACACTAGTTTTAGGTCTGCAGCATGACGACTCAACAACTATGGACGTGACGAAATGCTCACTGAGGAAAGTGTGGTCGCCATCCGTGCCACCCAGAGTCATCCCGACATCGTTGACCGTTCCCGATGCTGCACTTTTCACCCCCGTGACTTCTTTATTTCGTCACCAGAACTTCTTCCCTCTTGACCTACTGTACCCCATCACCTACTTTACTCCTCCTTCTCCCCGGGCAGCCCCAGCTTGTCCTTTGCACTCAAGTCCGTTTCTCTTTCTGTCATAGGTGTTTGTGGGCTTGTTCACTTGTGTGTAGTTTGGGTTCTGCCTACAAGTGAAATCCTACGGTGTTTGTCTTTCTCTGTCTGGTTTATTTCACTTATAATAATGCCCTCCAGGTCCATCCATGCCGTCACGGATGGCACGATCGCATCCTTATTGTATGACTGAGCAATAGTCCATTATACATGTGTACACACACACACACACACACCATAGTTTCACCCATTTGTTCATCCATGGACACCTGGGCTGCTTCCCTATCTTGGCTGTTATAAACAACACTGCAGTGGACATGGGGCCACCTTTCTTCACTTCTTGAGAAATGGCCACTCTTTGATCAACCTTCATGACGGAATGGACTGAACTTCTCCTGTCAGCCCTAACAGAACTACAGAGCCCAACTCTGGGCTCTTTGCAGAGTCCCAGAGCTTCTGTGGCCGTATCTGGTGGGAAGTGATTAAACTCTGTTTTGCCAAATCAATCTTACACAATTGTTTGTGTAATGAGAGTTATGCAAATAAAACATCTTGAGCCTTGATCTGTGGACCACACTTTTGTTGCAGTTGGATGTACCTCATGCGCTCAAGGGCAGATTCTAAATCTTGGCTTTGAAAGAGATACAACAGGAGATCTGGTCAGTTGTTTGGGGCTAGAATCAGGGGCTGTGGGAAGACTCACTGTCTTTCCCACTGAATTTTTAGGGTTGATATTCACAAAGTGAGACAAATACTCAGGGGGGATCGAGAGGCGTGCTTCAAAACGCTTGCATTCTGGAAAGAAAACAGAGCACGGTACGCTTTTTCTTGACGCTCAACCCCTCCCCCACCTTCATTTAAACCCTGGAGAGGACGAAAGATCATGAAACACTGCAAGATTCTGATTCCACTTTCCTCACTTTGTCCCTTCGTCTCACAGATTTCTTGTCTTTACTTGCCTCTCAATTAGGCGATTCCCCTAGAGCCGTGCCTCTGCCCTCCTCCCCCCCCTTCCCCACCTCCTTCACCTGCCCTATAACTCAAGTATTTCCAGGTGTGCAGACACCCCAGATCTACACTGGACCCTGCTCCCTCCCAGGGCTGGATCCAGCTCCGCCGCCTGCGGCACAGCCCCACCTAGTGGCCGCCTGCGTGGCTGCCCCGCACGGCCCCCCTGCACGCCCGGGCACAAACCAGGGCATCCTCCTTGGCCATCCTTGGCCTCCTCCTCTGTCACCTGGTCCTGCTCCAGATAAATCTCCCAAGGCCTGAGCATTCTCTCTGACCTCCCTTCACGCCCACCTCGGGGAGGCTGTCTCCTCTGCTCCTTCCTCCTCCCCGAGAAAAGCCTTGAGAGGCGAGCCGGAGCCCAGCTCTTTCAACGGCCTCTCCGCGGGCTTGCCCACCTCTGCTCTCCGGCCAGCCCGCTGCATCCCACACCCTGCTCCCCGAGGCCCCTAAGAACCCTGGGCACAGCTGGTCCCTCCCAAATTATAATAACCTTCAAAGACTCCCCCTTGCTCCCTCGATAAAGTCCGAATGCGTCATCTTGCATAATCCTGCTATCAACAAACTCGTCCTGTGAAGGGCCAGAGAGCAAACATGGTGGGCTTTGCTGGCCACGGGCCCTCCGTCGCAACGACACAAGACCGTGGTCACAAGCCCAAGCTTCAGACCACGGGTGAGCGAGACAGCCGTGCCCGCGGCTATAGCCTCCTACAGCTTTTCTGGGGATCCTGAAATTTGAATATCATGTAGTTTTCACTTGCCACAAAAGAATTATAAATTCCTTTGACTTTTTTCCCAGCCATTTAGAAGCAGGAAAACTGTTCTTCAGTTGGGAACAGTATGAAGACAGGAGGCCGAACAAGTGAGGTTCTTAAAGGGGGTCAGGCTCCCAGCACAGCCTAGAGACTGGCCTGGCAGAGAAGGGTGGGGACAGCTGTGACATCGCTTTTCCCAAGCATCCCGTGTGTAACCCAGTGTCTGGCCAGCAGGGGCTGCCCTCGGCTCAGGGGTTGCCTGCCTTCTTGAATTTTTGCCCCTCTTTGAAATTTGTGTGTGTCCTCAGGCCAAGACTGTTGTCCAATGCTCCAAAACTTACTTTGGGGGAGGTGTTGGGGTGGGGAGAAAACCTGGGCCCTCCAGGACAAGAAGATGGGAAGGGCCCTCAGGAGGTAGCTCTGCTCCCCAGGCCCCTTACTATCAGGGTGCAGGGGTTTCTCCGGGCCCCAAGAGCTGGTGGACTGTGAGCTCTGAAGAAGAGAGATCATATGCAGTCATGACCTCTACTCCTAGAGCCGGGAGCACCGTCGGCTCTCAGAGAGTGTTTCTCAGACGCATCAGAAGCACAAGGCCTGGTTTCCCTGTGGTTGTGGTCAGGGAGAGCAGGACGGAAGGAAGGGGATGGCAGGGGCACAGAGAAGGGCCCTTGGAAAGGAAGGGAAGGGAACCAGACAGCTCGGGCCTCTGTCCCAGGCCGGCTACAGGACCCGGACTGAGGGCAAACACACCCGGCAAAGTGCCTGTCCCCACGCCGTGGGCGGGGACAGGGGCTGTAGACCCCAGGACGCATGCAAGCCGGATTCTGAAGGCTGCAGAGGCATTTTGCTTTCCACTCTCTCCTATGGCCTCGCGAGTCTATCTGAATTCTCAAACCTCAGCCAGTGAGACACGGGAGATCTACCTTCCTGCAGCCTTCCGTCGGCCGCCGCCGCTCCCCCCGGAAAGATGGTTTTGACATAAATTCCAATGGGGCCATAAATGCTATCCTTTCCCCCAACGATGCTGAAGCCCAGGCCCTGGGGAGAGAAGAGGAGAGTGCGCGTCAGGAGTGGGGTCCGCGCTATTCCCTGGGCTGATGTTCCCCGAGAGCCTGCCCCAACCCTGAGCCAAGGTCCCGGGGAGGAGACAGGTGCCCTTGGACTCACAGACCCCCGGACTTGGGGAAAACCAGGACTTCCAGGCCACACTGGGCTGCGTGGGGTCGCGGGCTCTCCTGCGGGTCTGATGCCCTGACCCAGAGCCAGGGACATGGCCCAAGACCCCCGCACGATGCTGAGCCCTGGCTCGGCCTCTCTTTCTGGCAAGTCTGTCTCCGAGCCCCGGGTCAGCCCTGTGGGAAATGATGCTCATGACCTAACTACAGGCCTGGGCTTGGACATTCACGAGATCCCAAGCAACAAAAGCCTGTGGGAGCGATTACAGCAGCTTGCATGGAGGAAGCCCCCGTTCTTCCGCCAAGGCTGGTCACTTCCCTTCTGTTTTTGCATCCCACCCTCCCCTCCCCAAGGACATCACTGCGACCTTGAGCCCCCTCTACTGGGTCAGGAGCTGACAAACGCCCCAGGAGCTCACAGCACTGGCCGGCGGCTCTGGTGGGAGCTCAGGGGGTTCAGAGACAGCCTCAAAAGCAGGAGCGGCAGGGAGGCTGCAGAGACAAGGCCAGAGGCGGAGGAGCAAGGGAAAGCTGTGAGTGACGTGTGCACCGTCAGAGCGAGGAGGGAGCCCCCAGCTTCCCCTGCGAGTGACGTGTGCACCGTCAGAGCGAGGAGGGAGCCCCCAGCTTCCCCTGCGAGTGACGTGTGCACCATCAGAGCGAGGAGGGAGCCCCCAGCTTCCCCTGCAGACCCGCCCGTGAGTCGGAGAACCACACGGCAGACCCAGAGAGCAGCCGAGGAAATTCGCACATGCTGGCTCGGTTTGTGGAGGACCGAGGAGCTCCCCGCTTCCCAGGAGGGCTTGGCTGTGGTCTCGATGGGCTCCCTTTTAGACTCTCAGCTTCCTGAAGGCAGGGAACGCATCAGACTGGTCGCTGCCCGGCCTCTGGCAGGTGCTCAGGTGACGCACGTTATGGAGTGAAGCCACGAGTCAGGTGACAGCTGGGTCTTTGCGTCCAGCTTGCAGGGGCACTGGGCAGTGGCTCACAGCGTGGCTCCTGGACGGACCCCACGGGGACAGCCACTGTGGTGACAGCCTCGCGGCTCCGGGCCAGTGTCCCTTTGGCCAGCAGCTGCTCAGAGCTGAGCCTGTGTGTCACCAGGTACCAGAGTGATGGCAGGCCTGGCGCCCATTCAGGTGCCATAGGGAACCAGGCAGGAACTGTGTTCCAGGGTAGGAGAGACAAGTGGTATCCAAGGGTGGCACAGGGCCAGGAAAAATGAGAGGGAGGTGTGGCTTCAGGTCTCCTCTGTGGGCCCCAGCTTCATCCTGAAATAACTGTCGCAGACTCCAAGTCGGCCCGCCCTGGGGAGGCAGCACGGCACCTCGGGGGCAACGACCCCCAGGAGTCGGGGAGTCTGGGGTCGTTTTAGTGCGGCTGCTGACTAACCCTGAGACCCTGAGCAAGACTTGCGCCCTCAGACCCTCAGTGTCCTCGACGGGAAAGGGAGGGGACCCCGGGGCTGTGGCCGCCGTCGGAGGAGGCATCCCTGCCCAGCCCCGAGCACAGTGCCTGGCCTTCCTTCCGAAGCTGCTCTGTGGCCCCCTTTGATCATGACTCTACCTCGAGCCCTTACGGAGCCTTCGAGCTCCGCTTCCTGCTCCCAAACCAGCTCTCCCCGCTCCTACTCGCCGTCTTCACCGCGGGCCTCCCTTCCGGCACCGGTTGTGCGAGGCGGACGGTGGGAGTCCAGCTTGCGTTGGACTTGCCACCCTGCCGTGCACCCAGGCTTCCCGCACCCAACAGCTCACCTCGCCCAGCCCCGGCTCCCGCAGGCCGGCTCTGTTGGCCCCGTGACCCGTGATGTGCGATCACGTGGGATCTAGTGAACGTTCAGACACGAGACCAGTTAAACCACCGTTGACCCTCTCTGCTTGAGCTTTGGTGCTCTTTGCTTTCTTCTGAGCACTGTAAACGACTTAAAAGCCACCGATTTTTTTAACATACCACTGCCTAAGTCCGGGGGGAGGGGAGGAAGCGTTGGGATCTACGAGTCAGAAAGCTGGACTGTTAGGAGCGAGGTCAGCAAGGAGAGAGCTTCTCCTTGCGCCGAGAGGAGCCGTGGTGTCGGCATTTGGTGCTTCTGTCTTCTCATTCGTGTCTCTGCTGAGCTCCCGGGAGAAGGACGGAATGGGGAGGAGGGAGAGAAGATCCGGGCGCAGGGGGCCCCTTCTGACCGACCAGAAAGGAAGTGGCCAGCAAGGACCTCTCCTGTCACACCACATGCGACGTTGCAGCAGGTAGATCAAACGAACAAACAAAAACCCAAAACCCACTGTTTCGTTATTTAAGCATCTCGGCTCCTTGGGCTCCTCCGTGAACTTGGCAGCCACTGCCCATGTCTACTCCAGAATGTTCTGGAGGGAACACGAAGAAACATTTGGGGTGTTCCCACCACCGCTGCCTTGTCCCTCCTTTCAGGATTCCGCAGTCGTGGGCAGAACTCAGGGTGAGTGTATCAGGCGGGTGGAGACACGTGGACCAAACGTCCTCCCCAGACGTCGTGTGTCAGCTGGAGCCTTCGGGAGGGGTCAGGTCATGGGGGGTGGGCCTCACGAATGGATGAGTGCCCTTAGGGAGGAGACCCCAGAGCGCTCTGTCACCCGTGCCACATGCCCTGTGCCCACACAACGAGACGGTCCCGTCCACCCACTGGGAAAGCCGTCCTCAACAGACACCTTAGCCGTAGACTCCCAGCCTCCCCAGCGGTGACACCGTGCTGGCTAAGCCGCCTCCAGCAGCTTGCATGGACACAGACACAACTGAAAGGAGTTGAACGTAATCATCGGGGGATTCACTTCTAGAAAACACCATGCCATGAGCAAGCTGGCCGACAGTCGCCCTGTGGGGACCTGCACGGGGACATCGCGGCGCTCACACTAGCAGCCAGAACCACCAGCCCTGGCTCCTTCCTCCCCTGAACAGGACAGCTCCTGGGAGCATGGCTCCGTCCAGCGGCTCCTGTTGGCAATGACCCTTGCTTACCTTGGCCTGGCCCTTCATCAGCACGATGTTGGAGATGACAGAAGCCTGCAGGCCTCCCGTGGGCTGCGCAAGCTGAGCTGTGCTGAGCGACCGTGTGGGTCTCGAGGTGCCCTGCAGGAGGGAAGCGGCGTGGGGCGGGTGAGCCGATGGGACAGCAGCACACACCTCACAGGCCAGGAGGGGCCAGAGCCCCTCTCTTGAGGGGCCCACGGCATGGCCCCCACATGCGGTCGATGAGGCACAGTGGGAGTCTGGTGGAAAGGGGCTGTGTTTCATGGTCTGCATGGTTTCAGCCTTGCTGAGTAGTCCTGTGTCCCTGCAGACCAGCACCTGGGAGCCCCCCGAGACCTGGACCTCTGTCCCAGACAGAGGCAGGGACCCCAGCTGCCCAGAATGCCCTCAGCAGACCCTGTCTGATTCAAGACACACGTGCTGAGAGCCCTTCTTGTGCCGGGTGTGGGTGGTGGGCAAGGCACATGGAGATTTTAAAAAGGCAGAACGTAAATCCCAGGACAGGCCCACAGGTGACTTGCACCCGACAAGCAAAGTGTGCCTGAAAGACAGACCCCCTGTGTGCTGCAGGAAGCCACTCGGGGAGGGGACAGTGGAGCCTGGACCGTTGGTCAGGGCTGAGACTCGAGCCCCCGCTGCCTTGGGCTCTTCTCTTGGCTCTGCCCAAATTCAGCCGGTGACCTTGAGGAAGTGACCTCACCATTCTGTGCCCGACTCCTCTTACGTAAAATCATTGACCACTTGGAAAGTCATCTTTTTCCTAACCCTGGAACCCTCGATGCTCCCAGTTGGCAAATGAAAGACATACTAAGTCCACGAAGGGAAGGGAAGAGGAAAGTGAGACTTGCAGGCATCTACCGGGGTCCCGAGTACCGTGCGGAGAGAATCAAGCATCACTTGCCTATGGAGCCTGCCCTCAGAGCGCTCATGCTCTGCTGGGGTGAGGGCTATAAGAGGACAGGTGCCCAGGATGGGCACTGGGAGAAGTATAAGGCCCACGCAGCTGGTGGGTCAGGGGCGCTCCCAGCAGAGGTAGTGTTAGGCAAGTGTCTGAAGGATGAGGTAGGCTTTCCAGAGCTGGAGAGGAGACAAAGAGGGACTAGGTGCTACAGACAGGGCTTCTGGGTGGTCGTGGTGGCCGCATTCGGCGTGCACTCCCCACGGCTTCGGGCAGGAGCAGGAGGACGCTGGGGACACCGTGTTTCATGTCTGCTGAGCCCCCGACCTGCCAGTTGACGCCCACAGTGGGAAGGACAGGTGGTGCAAGCAGTGCACGGGCTGGGCTCAAAGTCTGCCCAGTCCCTTGGGTTCTAGGACATGTAAACTCAGACAGCTACTCACCTGGCCAAGCTCCTGCTTCTTCACTATAAAACGGGGCAAATGCTACACATTCATTTCTGAGCTTACGAATTGCAGGCACTGCGTGTAAAGCCCGTTGCCGTAGCACGGGGTAAGAGCCCAAGGTTTCGGAGTCCTGAAGGTCTGACTTCAAGCCCAGGGCCGTCAGCTACCGGCCTCGTGCTTGTGTGTGCGTTCCCTCCCCTGTCCCAGCCCGGTTCATCGGCGACCCGCCGAGTCAGGGCGCAGGTAGGGCACAGCCGGGCCCCAGGCTCCGCTCACGTTCACTGCCCATCAGCTCCTGACAGTGCAGATGGGGCAGCAGCTGCACGCGGGGAGGCTCAACGGTGACCAGCCCCCCTGGGGTTCTTCCTTTGCCCAGAGCTGCCCACACCCACTAGCCAGCCCCCGCCACCTCGGCCACTGCTGAGTCCGGGCCCCTCCCCGCTCCCTTCCCCCTCTGTTCTTACCGCAGCCCTGCCTGCTGGACAGTCCAGCTGCTGAGACAGAGACTTCCGGCTACTGCAGAGGGAGTAGGGCTGTCTGTCTGCACAAGCCATGGATTTCTTGATCATTGGGAAATCGATTTCTCCTGTGCAGTAGGGATTCACACCTGAAGCACAAGGGGAGGAAAGGGAGAGGTCATGTGTGCTCTCCGCATGCAGAGGTCCGGGGAGAACACCCTCGGAGCCACCCCAAAGACACGGGCTAGCGCAGGGGCAAGCTCAGGGCTCTGCCCCCAGGCAGCCCGAGGGCAGTTCCCGCTCCCAGTATGGAGCTGGGATCAGCACAGACCCAGGCCCGGGGTCCGGACAGAGTGGGTCTCAGAAGCACCGTGGGTCTGAAAACGGCTCGTGGATGTGCTCCAGCCACAAGGAGATCGATCAAGGTCACCATCGCAAGTTGTGTGAGTGGCGGGGGGCAAAACCAGTTAAGCACACCGCACTGATGGAGTTCATCGAAAACGTGGTCGTGAAAGTGGGTGCAAAGGCCCAAGTAACTTCTGAAAGGGAAACTGTACTGTGAGGCTGGCAGAGCAGTAACGCACGTCTGTACTTCGCGGTGAAGCTGAATTATGGGATGGGGACAAAGACGGGAAGACACGAGGGACACAGGAAGCCATTTTCTGGGGGGGAGGGCGCTTGGAAAATTGAGTCTCAGGTATCCCTTAATTAATGAAACCCAACGGATTCGTTAATTAACATCCCATGAAGGAAACCAGACGTGGGGATAAAAATCGGACACAGCTCTGGAGTCGCTGCAGAAATGAAGCAAACACACAGAGCAAGAAGTGGGGACCAACGAGCCACGCGCGACCTGAATCACAGCGAGCGAAATGCAGAAAAGTGAAGCGAATATTCACTAAGCGAATATTCACATTATTAAGCTAATAAACCAGCACCCACGGCCTGAGCGTCTCTCGTTAAAGAGACGGCCCTGTTCGCTTTTGAGATGGAACCGCACATCGTTTGCAAGAGATAAAACAGACGCGCAAGAAGAGGGCGACGAGAGGCGGGCAGAGACCGGTCACCGACCAGCGGAGACTGATCGCCGACCAGCCGTGCTGGGCCCAGCTTCAAAACACGTTTAGTCTTGCTTCACACCAAACAGCAAACATTAGTGACGGACAGAGCAAGCTTGTTTACAAAAAAAAAAAAAAAAGGCAAGTTGTTTACAAATTAGAAGGAAGTTTGGCCAAATATTTCATCGTTCTCTGGGTGTGGAAGAAACGTTAACATTATTAGGAAGGGAAAAAAACCTATACATTTGATTATAGAAAGATATTCTCATCTTTCTGTTAAGAAAAGACTTAAAGGGAAAAGAGTAAACTGCAGAAAGTACGTCCCACAAAAGACAGCCAAATATTAACACAACTGAGAGGCTCTTTATAAATTAACGCTAAAACTGATCACCCGGATAAAAAAATAAGAGGAACTCCTGCCAAAGGGAAAGGAAGAAACGAGGAACATTTAAGCTCAGCTGTGTGGAGAGGCTGGTTTTCGGGGCCAGCGAACCAGGCAGGTGCGAGCCCGCAAGGCCCCTGAGAGGAATGAATGAAGGGCCGTGTGCAAAATGTAGACAGGGTTTAGGAAAAGAGCGAAGCCCTCCGGGTACCCAGGAACTGGCAAAAACTGGAAGCTGGTGCCATCTCGGGCCTGAAGGGGCAAGGGGAGGAGACCATCTTCTCAGAGCCCGGTGGGTCTAGGTCCACGGAAGGCGGGCCACCCTGACCTGGTGTCTGGTCCCAGACAGACAAGGTCTGCCAGGACCACAGCACGGAGGCAGAGGGAACCAGGAAGACACGCTCCAGCAGCTTCTCCTTCACCCTCTAGTCTCCTGCTGGCGCTCCTCTCTCACTGAGCTCCATGAAAAAGCAGAGAGCCAGGGGGCCAGGAGGCCGGGGGGCCGGGGGGCCGGGGGGCCAGGAGGCTAGGGTCTGCTTGGTGCCACGGCTGGCTGCGTGGACATGTGACCTGTGAAGTCACAGAGCCCCACACTCAAAGGGGCCTTGACTTGGGTTTAATGCCCCACCGACTCCCATTCTATATTTGAACAGGGTTCCCATACTTTCATTTCACACAGATCCCTACAACTTATGTAGTCAGTCCTGGGTGCGAAGCAGAGCAGAAGAAAGCAGAGGTGAGGAAAGAGGTGAGTAGAGAAAAATCTGCAGCAAATAGATATTGTTAAATGCTCATACGGTGGGCTACGACTGAAGAAGGAGGTACACATACACGTTACTGGAGTCTTTGCTTCTTAAACTGGGCAGAACGGATCAACTCTAAGGCAGAGTTAACCTTTTGAAACTCCATTTCTAGGAAATTGTTCTAAAGGGGAAAATAAGCAAAAACTTATGATAAAAAAAAAAAATAACTAGCAGCCCCAAAATAGGAAATGAGTTTGGGAAATCATGGTTTAGAGATGGAATAAAAGGGACGGACCCAAGGTCACATGGACCGTTGGTTCTGGAAGCAAGTGTGAACTCCTAACCATGCTTCCATCCACGGCCCCTCATGGTTCCCGAAGAAAATCATCACAAACGTAAGCAAAATTTCACAGACGACCTTAACCCTGCTGCTTATCTTCGTGAAAAACTGAGAATAACGAGAATAACTTAGCTCTCTGACAGTAGGGACTTGGTTGACTAGGTTAGGTGTGGTCACACAATGAAATACAAGGGACCCACTGAGCATGGTGCTTGCAGAAGAATTTCCAAGGACACGAAGTCGTGCCATGTGCGCGTGTGTAGACGTGTGCTCTGTGGGCATATAGATGCATCGGAGGGGATGAAAGGAAAATGTTAACACGGGTTATTTCTAACATCAGCATGTGGTGTGGTTTTAATCTCGTCGTGCTTTTCTGCATTCTTCAAATTCCCTGACTTTGGAGTAGAGCTCTTCTCTTTGCAGCAACCAAGAGTCCAGACGTCCTCCAGCCTCCACTCCCATCTGGTGACAGATGAGGTGACAGGGAGCTGGGGAAAGCCAGTGGCCTTCCTAAAATCAAGGAGCACATCAGAAGACAGAGCTAGAGCAAAGCCCTTGCCTTTTATCCTCTATGTCGGCTCTTCCCAACATGGCACCTGAGTCCATCTCAAGGTGGAGCTGCCGAGGGAACCCTCCAGCAGACCACAGCCGTGTGTAATCCAGCTGGACTGGCCGAGACCCGCCCTCCCCCAGATCCCCCCACATCCCTGATGTTCCCGGTCCTCAGCAACAGCGAGGCTCCATCCCGGGGACAGGTCCACGAAGCACTTACTGGTTGAATTGCTGCGAGTCCTTTGGTGACAGGCTTTGGGAAGCAGGAAGGTACTACTCTGTGCTTCTACTTTTCCAGACTTTTCTCGGGAAGACGTTGTGGAAGCTTCCTGCAAAACAGTTCCCACCTTTTATTCAGCAAGTTGGTTAGAACAGAAAACATGTGTAGACAGCGGTGGTTTGGGCACTGATGGTGGAAGTACTGGTTGGATTCTCTGTGTCCCCCGGTAAATTATAAGCTCTATACAGGCTGGGGTTTAGAATCACCATCATCGGCTAAGCTATGGGTGGAGTCGCCCATTTAATAAAAATTGAGGAATAGATATATTTGCACAGACATGGATCTAAGGCAAGAGATGATGTTGAATAACCATGTCAGCCAATACACGTCTGATTCTTTGTCAGGTGCTGGGGAAACGGGCGTGAATGAGCCGGACAGGGCACCGATGGTGGAGCAATGCTGTTCTAGCAGAGGAAGGGCCCCAGCAAGCGAGCAAGCAAAGACGAGGGGTTGGCGATGACAGAGGACGACAAACGGGGGGAAGACCTTCCCTGGATGGGAAGCCAGGGGGACGCGTTAGAGAGAAGAGCTCAGGTCACTTGCTCTGTTCTGTGCATAGGAGGCACTTAGGAACTCTGTCGAATGAATATTACGTGAATAGTTTCTTAATATCGAACCATCCTTGCATTCTTGAGAGTATTATGATTTTTATTATCTTGCTGATTTCTGTCTCTGAAGATTTAATTCAAAGCCTTAAAAACCAACATTCTCAAGTTTTGGTTCTTTCCGTCTTCTTTATCTTGCCATACGGATCACATTCTCCTTGTGCCTTTTTTAGACTAATAATTGGAGCACTCTCCCACGGTGCTGAGTTTATAAGGCAATATGTTGAACAGTTATACTTGGACTCATTTCTCCATTGGGGTGAACGATGAAACAGAAAACATACGACTTAGAGATTTTAGGGACAGAAGATAGAAGGACAGAGGGACAGAGGGACAGAGGTCAATAATGAGGATAATGGTATTAATTATTTTATTTCTCTCCCTAGAACTGTATTTATATAACTTTATTACCCACAATGATTTTGACCTAATTCTTGAATTACGTTGGTTCCACTCATCACTACCATCATCGCTGAGTGCGTACGCATGCTTGTGTGTGTGTGTACATGTTTTTTCTCAAGGAAGTTATGCAGATGGAAATCTCTGGATATCTGCATGTCTGAGAACGTTATTTTGTGGTTGTCACACTTAAATTATCTGCTGAGTGTAGAATCTTTGGGTATTTGTCATTGCACCTGGAAACCATTGTTGGCTCGAATGCTACCTGGGACTTAAGTGTTCCGGGGAGAGGTCTGTAGGGGCACCTGCCGCCATCTTCTAACTGATACGCCCACCTTGCTTCAAAGCCAGCCTTGTCAGCGCCTGGTTAATATTCTGGCTCCAAGGGGTGTGTGGGGGGAGGGGGGACTTGAGCACCTGGCTGCTTTCCAAGGGTGGAGAGAGGATCTCCCGGGGCCTATCACTTTGCACCCAACAGCCTGCCCTCCATCCCAGCCCCTGGCACTGCGAGTGGGCGGGTTCTGCGGGAGCGGGGAGGGGTCTGCTGACATTTGCCCCGCTACTTCCTGCGTGGCCAGCGCAGGTGAGTCAGCCCTGCCCTCAGTCCTGAGTCATCTGCACTGCTCGTGCAGGAAGCTCTCAGGGGTCCCAGAAAGAGGCTGGCCTCACCCGTGGCTCTTGTCCTGACATGTACTTCTCCCCATGAGTCTATATATTCTTTGAATTTTGGTAGAAATAGACTTTTTTGGTAGAAAGTCTAAGATGAGCGGGAATGACTAGAAAGTACTCTGGAGTGCATAGCCCACTCCCAGCCCCTTTCTATGCCTATGGTTATATCTAGTTCTGACCCAAGAGGATCCTGCCAGAAACCGCATCTCGCTCTCCTTGTATTTCTTGTACACGTCAGGGTTTAAAACCAGGCTCATCTCCCTCGTGGTCCTTCTCCTTTTCAGCAGCAGGTGGTGCTCTGTGAACCTAAGCAGAGCCATCTTCTGCCAGACTCCCCTGAGAGCCTTCAGGAGACGGAGCAGGAACTCTCTGGAATGTGACGCAGTTCATTTGAACCTTTAAAACTCTCTATTTCTAGGATTTAGCATCATGACCGGTTCTTTGAATCAGTCGCTTCATGTACTGTAAGAGTCAAAAGATATTTCTTAATTACAAGAGTCCCCGAGGCCGTATCCTCTGATATGATTCCCACTTCCCCACTCTTTCCAGAGACACCGTGCAAGCAAATGCTGACATGTGAACTCAGTAGCTCTTTTGGGTTCACGGAACATAGAGAAACCTCGTAAAACAGCTAGTACGTCTCCTCGTCTAAAGCCCAGCCTTCCCTGAGAAGTACCTTGGAAATGGGGACCTTCCCCGAATCTCTAATAAGATGAAGATAAATATGGAAGTGAGGCATGGAGCACCTGGGGGGTTCAGTGGGTTAAAGGTCATGATCTCAGGATCCTGGGATCGAGCCTCGCATCGGGCTCTCTGCTCAGCGGGGAGCCTGCTTCCTCCTCTCTCTCTCTCTGCCTGCCTCTCTGCCTGCTTGTGATCTCTGTCTGTCAGATGAATAAATAAAATCCTTAAAAAAAAAAAAAGGAAGGAGGAATATGCAAACACGAATCATCTTTAAAAATTGTGTTTATAGAGAATTTTTGTAGTATACGTAGGCCTCTACTATCATGGTAGGTAAAAAAAGAAAAAGGATGCTATGAATAGTTTCACAATAATCATGCAACATAGCAGAAGGAAAGGACTGGAAATAAATACACCAAGATAGTAACATTATCCATTCAACGAATGTTCATTAAGCACTTCCTATGCATGAGGCCTTATTCCAAGTAGTGAGATGATGTCCGCAGACAGGGTCCTGCTCTTACCGGCTGGCAGGGCGTGTCTGTGTCACGGGGCTACGGATTCTTACTCTCCCACTTGCCCCTCCCCTGTGTGTTCTGCGTCTCCTACAACAAGCCTGGGTGACTTTTACCACCAGACCAGAAACAAAAATGCCATTTTACATGCATTTCAAGGGTCACGTGAGTAAACTTAAGACAGTGTGTTGACTCTTCATTATTTTTTTCCCCTTCCCATCCTCTCTCCAAAGCTCCCTGTCCCAAACAAAACGTAGAAATAGCTCAGCCAGCAAAGTTAGTTGATGCCAGGACAATCATAAGAAGCAGAGACTTTTTCTTTTCTTTTCTTTTCTTTTTTTTCTTTTTTTTTTTTTTTTTGGTCCAGATTACCTGAAAGTCGTTAGTGTCATGTTCAGAAGAGGGAAGCTTTTTTTCAGGGTTTCAGGGTTGGCTGTAAGAGACTTTATCCAGAACAAGCCAGATGAACCACTGGACCACTCTGCTCTCTGCACGCCGGGGTGCAGCCTCCTCTGGTCAGGACGGTGGGAGCAGCGACCTCCCGGTGTACAGGCAGGTCATCCCCCCCTCCCACCGCGGCAAGCACAAGGCAGCACAAGGGTCCTTCCCCTCATGGCTCTGCGTCCTCTGACCAAAGACAATGTGGCCGCCCGCTGGTGCCTTCCCTCTGCCGTGGACTTTGTCTCTGAAGCAGCCGGAGGCTCTGACAGCCTGAGTCAACTCAGGCAAGCACCAAACTCTTGGATACGTGTGTAGACTTTGCTCTGACCTGGCTGAGGCGGGAGGGGGCTCCCTGGACGGCTAGTGCAGGGAAGAATGGAAATGTACTACTCCCCACCGAAGGCGGGATCCAAGAGGCAGTTTTCTATCGGGCATGTGAAAAAAAAAAAGCCCAACTACATGACCCTGAAAAGTTCCCCAAATAGAGGCAGTGCACAAGTTTTGTGGGCCTTCGACTTCTGGAGGCCCACGAGGATCCAGCCCTCATCCACACTCTGGGATTATCTCAAGGTGTAGTTCATTCTCTGCAGTCCCTACAGCTCTGAGCACAACAATTCCTTTAGACGAAATGCACCGTGGGACAGAGTGGGTAGAGGGTATGAGACCAGCAGCAATAAATCCTGCATTACCCTGGGCTTGTCACCTAATTGTTTGGACTCAATTTCCCCCTTTGTAAGCCAAGGGGGTCAATTTGACAATCCCGATAAGCGCTTTCTGCTCCACACTTGTGAACGCAACGGATGGTTATGTTTAAAGATCTAAGTGGCTACTGTCCCCTCAGAGGTGATCACATGGCGGAAGATGGTTCTCGAGACTGAAACAGCTTTCCTTGGCTGCTGGGGGTCTGGCCGCTCTTGGGTAAGACGTCCTGGGTGGAGTGGTTTCTCCTCAAAGGAGTCTCTGTGGGATCTGCTGCAAGCATCTGTACAGTGCGGCGCCCTTGGCTGTACTCAGAACACAGCTCTTCTGTCCCCGCTCCCAAGGTGGGGCAGCCCTGGAAGGGGGGATGCATCCCTGAGGGCAGGGGCTAATGGACACGTCTCCGGACACATCTCCCCTCGTTACCACGGGAGACGGCAGCCACAGGCAGCAGCTCCAGGGGGAGCGTGCCCATCGCCCTGGGGATGGCAGTGTCCAAGGCAGTCGGTCCCACCACGGCCTGGGTGTGGAATGAGGCAGAACGGCGCCCCTTAAAGATTATTTTGAACAAATGGTTCTGGGATGAGTAGACATCCACACGTCAAAGAATGAACTGGACCACTTTCCCACAGCAGACACAAAAATTAACTCGAAATGGATCAGAAGGCACCTGGGTGCCTCAGTGGGTTAAGCCTCTGCCTTCGGCTCAGGTCATGGTCTCAGGGTCCTGGGATCGAGCCCCGCGTTGGGCTCTCTGCTCAGCGGGGAGCCTCCTTCCTCCTTCCCCTCTGCCTGTCACTCTGCCTACTTTGTGATCTCTCTCTCTCTCTCTCTCTGTCAAATAAATAAATAAAATCTAAAAAAGTAAAAATAAAAATAAAAACCACCAAAATGGATCATAGACCTCCATACTAGCTACAACTGAAAAAAATTCTTAGAAGAAAACAGATCCTCATGACCTTGGGTTAGGAGAACACTTCTTAGATATGACAGCAAAAGCACGAGGGACCCAGAAAAAAAGTGGAAATGGGCTTCCTCAA